GCCGCCCTGGAGCCGCGGGCCCGGCCCCGGCCCCGCGGTGTGGGAGAAGGGGCTGTGCCCCCTCCCGCCCTCGGCAGCTCCTGAAGGGCGGCGGCAAGGAGAGCCGCGGCTCCTCCGCCGCAGGGGCTGCGGCCTGCCGGCCTGCCCGCAGCTGCCGCTGTAGCGTGTAGGCTGTGACTCCCGCACGGACCCGGCCGGCTGACTCATCCCGGCTTTTTGCTCCTTGCCGTTTCTGCCCGGATATAAATATCTCATTCATCGCCGTAGTAACTGAGTAGCTTACGCTGCGCTCTCGCAGGCTGCTCGTCCGCTCCGGCTCTGGGTTCGTCTGGCGCTGTTGGTGCTGACAGCGAGCGCAAGGCTTCTGCCTTACCTGCCTCTCCTCTCGTTCACTTCCAAATCCGAACAGCGCCTGGCACATTAAAAACGAAAGTGAATGAAAGCTTGTTAAGCAAAGCTGGGTCTGTCGTGATTTAATATTGTGGTAAGACGGTTTAAAGCTGGAAAGGATTGAGAACCTTTCTAGTAGATAACTCATACAGTTTTTGGGTTTCTTCCTAAAAGAAAAATCAAACCGTTTGCCTAGAATGCTCACTTAATTACATTTCCCTCTCTAAGGTCAGCTAAAACCACTGGCCAGATAAAAAACTATCATATTTTCCAGTATTTCTCTCCATTATGTGCCACCAGAGGATCAGTAATGGATGCAGTATTGATTCATTTCCAGTAGGAATTGACATGTTTGAACTCAGTAGTTCTCAGTTTATTAAAAACAATGTCTTAGTCATATATTGTTGGAAGAGTGCTCGGAAGAATTTATCTTCCGACTTGATCGCAATGGGGTGCTTTGGAAAGTCGTGGCTGTTACATGTTTTCAGAGACAAATTGCTGCAAGGTTAAACTAGTCCACACGTGCAAGTCTCATCCAAAATCCCTACACAAGCCGTCTGGTAAGGTTGCAGAGCGCTTGAATATTTTCCATCTTGTTGATATTAGGTGTGGTTTTGTAGACCTGCAACTTCTTGAAATTTGGTACATTTGGATAAAGAGCACCATATAAATGTAAGGCTGTAGATTAGTGTGAACTAAGAGTGGTTACCTGTTGCAGAGATTGATATCAGGAGGGTGAACCAAACCTGTGAAGGCATCGATGGCATGCTGCCCTAAAAATGATTTGAACTCCGGTGCTACCATTTTGTTGTCCCTCTAAATCTCCCTGTCCGTGCTTGGGTGAACACTTGCTGACTGAGTCCACACGTGCTTTGAAATAATTTTCCAGCAGCAGGAAGTATTCCGCTAGAGCGGCTGCCTAGGATTGCTAAGTTTGTAGCTGGTAACTGAGGCTTGGTAACCGGGGCTGTAGGTGGGAACCGCATCCAGCCCTAGATTGACTCCATTTTCAAGTGGAACTTAACTGTGGTCATGGTGGTGGTGTTATTTGTAAAAAGAAGGCAATATGTGACTGTGGTGTTGTTTCTGGACCTGTGTTTTTAGTGCATTAGAAATTGGTAGCAATATTGATCACCTACTGTTTTGTTTATAAACATGCAGCAAAATACTTTGTAAGGCTGCAGCTCTAAATGCAAAAGGCAAGTCTCAGACCTGCAACAGTCGAATAAATGTGCAGTAGATCTTAGTGGCAGCTGGTGAACTGTTCTTACAGGCAATGTCATAATGCTGTTGCATTTTGGCTTTTGAATGATGCACGGTAAACGCAGCTTGATGCGTAGTAGGATTTGTGCAGGTAAGGACTAAAACATAGCAAAGCCTCATCGCTAGGGGATTATATTCACTGTATTCATTGGTGGACTTGCGTTGCCCGTTATCTAACGTATAACTCTTCTGTGGATTAGGATGTGACAGATTGCGTGAGGAAATGTCAGTCTGACTGGAACTCCTGTTCTCAGGTTGGTTGAGCAGCTCAGCCCACATGAAACAAGTGACAGCAGGGTCGGAGGAGTAAGGAGCTAAGTAAGCTTCAACAGGTGTAGCCTTTTATTCCCCCAAGGGTGCAGGAATTGAGGAAGGTGAAATTTTTTGTAGGGAGTAATTGGTAACAATTTTGATCTATTTAGCTTTTTAATAGGCAATATTCTTGTAGTGAATCTGTTACACCAGAAGTAACCTTCTTGCCCCTGCTTTGAGCCTTATGTAGTCTGTATAATGCCTTATTTCCTCTGCTCCATTACATCTCCCATACAAGCCTTTGTCTTATTCTCTTAAACAGTTTCCTGACTCTCTTCCATTTTGCTCCTGTAGTGGAAAGCTCTTCTTCCTCTGATCTGATCTCTCAAGCTGCTTGTCCTTTTTTTAATCCCACTCATTCCTGAAAAATGCTCTTTTCTGAGACATTTACAGTATCTGAGTCAATATTTCTCTTATTTCTTTTTGTAAACAAACCAGTCATTCACAATTCAAAATGAGTAATTCAGTTGTTGTGCTGTGGGCTTCTCTCAAAGGAAGACCAGGGATTCTGAAGTGCGTTTCCAGTCTGACATTCTTTTATGTGAAGCTGAGGATACTTCTTCCATTCAAGTTCTTAAGTCTCCCTTCTCATTTCAGTATAAAACTACCTCTCAGAATATATCAACCAAAGTGAGTACTTTTTTTCATCCAAAGCTTTTTTTCCTTCATTTTTTTCCCAGGGAAACATTAACCACTATTTAAATAAGCTGTGGTCTGATTCTCTCTCTTCCTGCCCGCCCCCCTCCCTCCAGAGGTGCTGAGCTAAGCATGCTGAAATTTTTGTGAATTAGGCCTCACTGTTGCACATGGATCACTGTGCTGGTATGGAGTCTCATGCTTGTTTTGATCGACTGTTTTTTTCTTTCATTTTCTGCATTGATCTGGAATTATATTTTGAAGAATAATCTTTGTTATATATTCAGACTTGTTCTTTGATCCACAGCATAGTGTCTGGATGTCTCTGGACCATCCGTCAGACTGATTCTTTCAGGACAGATCAGTTCAGGTTGTCTGGAAGGGCTCCCATTCACTGTGTAGGCATTGCGAGAAGCGTGTTGGTTTCAGGACTGTGGATCTCTACTGAAGGTACCAGAACTGAAATGTGCTGGGGAGCTTTTGCTTTTTGGTGAATGGCATCTTTCGCACCTGGTGGTGTGATGCGATGATGGCATCTGGGGATCTGGTCTGAAGAGCAGATCTATTGTTAAAGGATTCTAAAGTCTTCTGAGCAGTTACTTTTTCCAAATCTCCGTGCTTAATGAAAGTCTCAGTTTGTGGAAATGGCTGAAGGGTAACTGTGTATTGTCAAAAAGCTGCGTTTATCCTCTGCTATAATTTCTTTCGTTTCTGAAGCATGATACGTTGCCTGTAGAGCACTCTGGGATAGAAGAGGCAACATAAATGTAGGATTACTACTCCGAGGGAAGAGGGATGAGCATTGACTCAAAGTTTTGACATTGGTTTCTTTCTATATAAATCACTACTCCAGTTCAAGCCATAGCAAAGACTCAACCGAATTTTTCTGGTAAAGGATTTCAGGCATTTTGAAATACATGGCAAGAGGCAGGGCTTCCAGAGTATAGTCTTCATGAAAGAGTCCTCTTCTGTTTTCAATACTGAATGAGTTTCAGAAACTAGAGTTGCTAAAGATTAAAGAAAGAACGCTTAGCCAATTTTACACCAACTCTTTTCCTTTTGCAGCTTTTAGTTTGACAGATAAATTTTTCTTTGCCAAGCTACCTACTCACACAAGTAACTGTGCCACAGCACAGTTATAGTTCTGTTTATCCTTAGTAACCAGTTGTACTGCTATTAATCTGAATTCCTTTCCAGGGAGGAAGGTGGTTAGAAGTTAGCCCAGATATCTTGCATAGCTAGACAGGTCAATACTTTTCTTTTGCTTGCTCTGTTTATTATTATTATTTTTAATCTTGAGGCTTCATTTGCAGATTGTGCTTTGGTTTGGGAACCTGGTTCTCTCTCTTAGTCTCAAGGCATTTCCAGTGTAATTGGGAAACCTCTTGAGATGTTCCAACTTCTGTTCCCTGTATATAGCATTTTTCTCATTCTAACTGCTTTAAACTTGGTTTAAATTTTTCTTCTAACTCTAACTGCAGTCTCACACTAGTAAATTGTCTAGCTCATTCAGTATCTGTTAAGTAGCTGTTCTGTAGCATGAACGTTTTTTGCGTGCCTTTCATTTAGACATCCATTCCAGTGGCCAAGAATGGGCTATTACTTGTTTGGGAATGACTCTTTGAAGTGATGGAGAACTTAATTTTGAGAGTTTATCTTAAAGCCCTAAATATTATTATTTGATTCATCAAGTTGGTAGCAGGTTGGAATTAGTTATCCAGACTGTTCCTAATATAAAGAGCTAAAACGTTGATTAATCTGAAACTTCCTTTCAATCTGTTGTATGGCTTTTTCCCCACTTCCATGTTGTTTTCTGAGATTTTGTCTTTCTAACCTTGTCCTTTATGGCTGTTTTTAATTTCTCTCCGCCTTAGTTTTTCCTGCTATTCTTATTTGGATGTTTGCAAAAAGCAACAAAACAATTAGAGTAAAACAGGGAAGTTCTTTGGCCAGATGTTGCTGTTAGGTGTGGATTTCTCGTTTATAAGTATTAATGTCTGGGTGAGAAATCCATGACGCACAACCATCTGTTCTTCCAATCCCTACCATGAATGTGGAATTTCCTCTTTTTACCATGTGTTTTCCAGTGCCGTTGGAACAGTAAAATGAATTTGAGGTAACTGTGGTCACTTTTTCTGCATTAAAATTTTTAAGCATCATAATAGTGAATCTGAGCAAGCAGAGAATCAGGAAAATACTCATCGGAGGCTTAGGGGAAGAGATACTCCTCAGAACCTGTCTTTTTACCTCAAACTGTAGTTAACTAAGTGTTCAGAATCCCTCAAAACCTCTTTGCATGAATACATGTGTGTGGTTTTGTGGGGTTGAGTGGGGAGACATTAGGAGGCAGACACGTGGTGAGGAACTGTTCAGTTTGCTTTAATGTGAGAGTATGCATGCCAAGCAGGAGTGAGAAATGCCACTGCTGGCAGCAGGCAGGCAGGGCACTGGACTGGGGGCAGTTGGGTTTACTCTGCACGGTTCTTATTAAAATAAGAATGCATAGGATATCAGGGCAAAAACCTGAATATTACCTCACGATTGTTACATAATTCCTTGTTATGTATGAGTTCATGACCTATTGCAGCCTTATAAAAAAACAAATAAAATGCTCTATTCTTTCCTTACAGTCTTCCTCAGTTACCCGGAGAAAACCCTACGTCCCCCATAAGAACACTGCCGCATTGCAAGCCAACCCGATGGCGTCCTCTACTGCTGTGCCTGTAGGATTTCACTATGAAACAAAATACGTAGTTCTCAGCTACCTGGGACTTTTATCACAAGAGAAGCCACAGGAGCATCCTCCTCCTTCAACTCAAGGTAATATTTGCATATTCATCTGTACCTATTTACATATGCAACTGTATTTGCAATTAGTTCTTCAGCTGTTTGAGCATGGATGCAGAATGTTAGCCTGATGCTTAGTGTAATGCGTCTCTTATTTCATTCATTTAAAATAATGGGAAGAGATGCTGATGGAAACAAAGCTGTTTGTATTTAGATTACTGTTTTCATTTGAGCTATGCCAGGGCCGATTGGTGTTTATGAAGCAAATAAGTGATTTAGTAGCTGTCTTGAGGTTAGGAGGAGTGGATATATATTATCTTTCTTGAGCCATCTTGAGAATTTGCATCCATGCTTGCTTTTTTTGGGAGGCAAGTGGAAGTAAGTAGCGGTGAGGTGGTGTTTACCAGCATAAACTATGAGTGATGACTTGAGCAATCTTATATGCTAAATAGTTTTGCCCTATTACTTTGTTGTCAGTCAGTGGTAGTGCAGAGATGTGAGACTTAACCTGGCCTATGCTGCATGTATTTATTGATTTATTTTTAAGAAGTCAAGGACTGCATGGAGTCAGATAGAGTCAGATGTTTCTTCCAGAACAGGTTTATGCATATAGGAGGTTAAATAAATAAATAGGAGGCAGAATAAAAGAAGTTTGATTGATTGTGTTTTACATAAACCTAGGTAGTAAAACTCTTATTTTGTGGTGGCAAGCACTTAAACAGTGTCGTTTGTCAAGATTGTTTTGGTGGCTTGTCACTTATTAATGACGTTTCAGTCACTACTAGTTCCTGTGATTCAGAACTTTTTCTGATGAAAGGCGTATTAAAAAAAAAAAAGACAATCTTCAGAATTTTTTTTTTTTTAACAAGCATTTAAGAATGCATACTCTGTCATTTACTGAACTTACCTGTCATGAAGTGAGAAATTCCTGAGAAGAAAAGACAGTATCAAAGTTATGACAGAAATTATTTTACCAGTTTGGCACTAAAGCATACAGCATATGTTGGTTATATTATATATAGTTTATAAAATTAATCTTACTGTATTTAAGGTATGTCTGTTACTTCTACTTTGACTGCATCTGAGGTCCACGAAAGGAGAGGTACCTTAGTGTCAAGATGCTGTTTCATAAAACCCTTTGTTGGAAAATGTGCTTATTTTAGCAATAATGTCTCATTCTGAATATCCCATCTGGGCTAACTGGGGTGTAATTGGAAATGTATTGAGTATATATAAAGCTACAATGTGGAAAAGTCTGCTTTGTTCTGTAAATGCAACTGTTAGTCTTAAAGCTTTTTTTTTTAATAATTTGGTTGTAGTTACCTTTTAAATGTTTGCAAATTGAGGGGAAACGGTGCAACTGATTCTCATTACTGAAACCTCTAAGAAATATTTGAATTAAAGAGCAATATTGAAACTTTATAAAGAGAAAGCTACAAATGCTTAAATAAACATTTTGTACTCAGATAAGAGGACTTTTAAGCTCCTGAGTAAAAGTAACTGTTGAGTTTACTTTCCAGATATTATTTAGATATTTTAGCTTGTGTGCTGGCAGGCTGTAGCTGGATTTGCTCTTAAAATACTCTAAAACATTGATACTTTCCAAATCTGTTCTTTAATCCTTATTGCTCTAAATGTTCCCTTTTAAACAGGAAATTCTCTTACATTTCCCCCACCCTCACTCGCAAAACCAGACAGTGACCACAGCTTCTCCTCTCCTGGTCATCTTTCACTGTAATTAGATCTCTCTTACAGTGTTTTTTACTGCTTTCTGATCAAAGCCTCTGGATAAAATAATTTTCCCTTACTTTTAATCTGCCATGCTATTTCTCACTGTGCTTTGTAATGCCTTGGATGGACTTCACGCTGTTATTGAACTAAGTGCAAACACTTTATCCTTCTGCTTCAGGATTTGTTTCATTCTTCCCTAACTCACTTTTCCTCTTGCTTTTCTGCTTTCCATGCTTCCAACAGCTTTGATTTGTCTGACAGTTACTTTTTAAAAATCCTTTCTCCTACTTCTCCTCTCCTTGCTTGTAATTGAACAGTTGTTTCAGCTGCACTCCCAGGGTACGTGTGGTAACAGCCGTGTGTTTATTTTGAACTACTGTATGCATCTTCTGTGAATATTAAGTAGTTTATAGATACAGTCTGTATCTCCTTGTTGTCTGGCACATGGCTGATGCCTGCTTGCGGAGAGCTGTACCAAAGCACTCTGCCCTACATGCTCTATATTCTCCCCTAGGGAGACAGGGAGAGAAGCAGCAGCCCATAATGGATATTACCTGCACTGCCTAATGCGCTGCTGGAAGGTAGCAGGGTATTATAGTAACAAGTGTCGTCTGAGAAATCTGGTTAGAACAAAAGGGATGTGAAAGCCAGTAAATGAAAATTAATAGTTGTTGTATAGAATCCCATCATAAGGAGGAAGCTTCTGGGGTTTGGTAACGAAGACATACAAGGGATAATAACAGTATGACATTACATTGTACTTGTCAGTGTGTTTTTCAAGCACTGTCATCAACTGTTGATACGATACCTTGACTGCCTCCAAGTTCCTTTCATTGATGATTTTTGTGGTCCTTTAAAACGCTGGTCAGTAGTCTTTCTACTCTCTATGGCTGAACGCTGTTGATTTATGAATTGAGAGGATTCTGATACAAAGTACCTGTCACTTAATCTTGTTTTGCTTAAATTTGGTTATTGTGCTGACAGACCTTTCATGGGAAATAATTGAAGCAGTGATTTTGGTTATTGCCTGTTTCTGTTTTAGTTGCAGAACACTTCTCTATTTTATGTGTTTCATTCATATGAGGTATTGACTCTGCTATATGGTACTTTCCCTTCATCTATTTTTCTTAGATCCAATTAAGTCCTTACTCTTTGTATGATTTCTGTATCATTTTACAATATAAGGGGAGTATCCAGAAAGGCTAGTTTTAGTTTGCCTTAGTAATGTTAACCTCTTCCATCTCCTTTGGGGTCGGAGGGTGAGGGACTCCTCTAGAGGGCGGTTCAGGGCAGGATCCTAATTACAGCCACCTGGCATCACCCACTGGAGGACCTTCTCTCTTTCCATTGCATGTATACAGAACATGGGGAAATAAGGCACATGAGGTGTAGGTAGTATTTCTGTACCTCCCTTGAGTCTCCTTCCGCAGCAGTCTCCCAGTGAAGTTTCAGCAATCCAGTTAAACTAGAGAATGTATCTGATGGGTCAAAAAAACAACCAAAAAAGCGATCTTTCCCAACAAGAGTGGTACTATTTTATCTCTGCTAGAACTGGTAGGAGAAATTGAATGCTTTTGTCCATTCCCCTCCCTTTCCTCCTATGGTCATCTCCCACAAACCTCTGCTTTCCTGCATTTCATACTAGAGAGTTCTTTTTCTGATGTATACCTTTTTGTTCCAAAAACCCAGATAAGAGAAAATCTTCAAGATATTTGTTAGATTTCAATTTAAAACTTCTTGGTTTTGCAGACATAATGTTCTTTATGAGACTGATGGGTTTTGGAGGGATTTTATATAATGAAGAGAAAACTCAGGCATATTACTTAGAAAATTACCTCACTGTATTTCCTTTTGGATCTCTTGGTTGGTCTTGACTTTGTTGCAGGAAAGATGGCTTCAATTACAAGAGCTAAAAATACTTCTGGCTTTTAGCAAAGAAGGCTGATCTAAATCAATATCTGACTACTGCTTTGAAATTTCTATTTGGATAGCTTCTCTTCAGTGCAGGGACTGAAGGGAGAACCATCCGCGGTATTCTAGGCTGTTAAAGAAAAGACAGTTTCATTGGACAAACCAATCTTTTAACATTATGGCTCTATAGTATTCTGTAGTGGATTTCAGTATAGTATTCTGTAATGGATTTCAGTGTCTCCTGAGGAAAATCCAGCAAACTTACCTGGGCAGTAGTTTGAGAGATTATTCCTATTACAGTTTTGGCAGAATAATGATTCTGCATAGCACTCACTTCAGTTTATTTAAAGCAAAGTCCATTAGCAGTAAATTCTGTTACTTTTGGTAAGTTTTCAGGTAGGTGAATAATACAAATTGCTCAGATAAATCTGATAAAACGCACACAATAAGATGTCATCTGCGTTATGTGCATGTGGTTTGAGGCAACAGACAAGTACAATTATTTAAAATGTGTGGAAGCTCTCAGTTATTTGTTAATTAGATTGTGGAGAGATGTTTTAGTATTTTTTCAGAACTCTTGTAGTATTTATAACTACTGGTTCGTACACAGAAAATAAATATCAAATATTGGAAAACATTTCTGCTTTTCCCCCCCTGAAGTTCATGTTCCTTATAGAAGCTTCCAGTCTGCTGTAGTTGTTAGTACTACTTACTTTTTAAGTGAGTCAAAGTACTTTGATTTTGTGATTCAATATATTTGTATTATAAATGCTTCTTTGTGTTTCATCAAGGAGTAACTTCTAGTGTATTTCTGTTTTTTTAATCTACTTCCCAATGGTTTGACCCCATCCCATGAGCCTGTGGCTATAACAAAGATTCTGAAGGAAAGTAGTTTTTCTGTGTTTTCCTGACAGAATGAGAAATCTTAAATAATCCCTTAGTTCATATAGCATCTGGAAGATCTATAATCAATGCCACTACTGCACGGTGGCATAGATTACTCAAGAGGTGAACAAGGTTTTGACAGTTTTACAGTTTCCCTGAGGGGCATGCTATCCGCAGGACTTTAATCCAATTATTGTGCACAATGTTATTTTGACCATTTATTATCTGTTTCGGAATTACTGTATGAAGTGCTGTATATAGTCAGTGATCAAGGCATTTTAGTGGTTTCACACACGTGTTTCTTATAGCTGAGTAGCGTTGAACTGGGTTATTGGGAGAAATGGGTTACGTTTATTTGTTCACTTCTTTCAGTTAGAAGTGAACTCTATTACATCTCAGGAAATACATGTACAGGTAGGCAGAGGTGGTCAGGTTTCACGGATTGTGGGGTGAGCTCAAGGCTCCTTAGTGGCCATCCCAAATCTAATAGGAGTACCCCTTTTATATGGTTTTGACTGTCATGGGTTGGATACCTGTCATTGCAAAATTTTCTGTCATCAGGTGACATTTTGACTAGCTGTTGCAGAATATCTTGGTTTTCTTCTACTCCATCCCTGTATCTTCACTTACCCTTCATTGTACCTACTGTTGGTCTGTAGGAAGTGAAGGAGTTTTTGAGGTGGTTTTAGCTTAGATGAATAACTCATTCCTTAGAAACCTTCCTCTTAGGGCAAAACATACCTACTTTGGCTGAAAAGGTACATGTTGTAGGTCAGACCAATCCAGTTTGTGGTAATGAGGGAGCTATTTCCTGAGGCAAGGAAGGGATTTTTGGGGGTGTGACTTGGAGAAGTTAAGAGGTGGTCCCTCCAGGAATGTGAATTGCCACTTAATTAAGCCTCCTCTCTGCCCACAAAAAAAGTTGACTGCTAGTTGGCAATGTCTTGTCTCTTTTTGGTTCTTAATATTTTGGATTTTTGTAGTTTCTTTTAAGCTGAGCATTCTTATGGTTTATAAAGAGCTGCTTTTAAACCTTTCTCAGATCAAGGGCTACATCTATATATGGCAGTCTGTGTTATGGAGTTTGCTGGGGTAATGGATATACTTTTCATTGAAGGAAACAGGTCAATATGTTTGTAAAGAGATTTCTTACATTTTCATTACTCAGTGCTTATAGAAATTTTAGACACTTATTCTCATTGTTTTAAAAAGTCTGAGATGTTAGAGAAATATTAGAATCATGCTAAAACTAAATTTTTAAGTCAATGTTGACTATACAGAAGTTAATATAGAGACCTGGGAGAACTTGAAAACAGAGATATTGGTAAATTAAAATTACAAGCATGAAAGAAAAAAATCAGGCGCAATCTGTGACATCAATGGCTTTCTTTTTCATTCACCTTGCATTCACTTGAACTAAAAAGGCATAACACCTTTTCAGTCTCTCCTTATAGTTGCTGTTGTCTCTTGTTAGTATGATACAAACACTGTAGAATCCGATGTGCAGGCTCTCTAGCTCTGATGAATGACTTCCCATCCCTCCTCCTCCTGGGATCAAACCTAGAGAACAGATTAGTCTTGTATTGTTACTAAACTTATGGAATGGCCTTATTGGTGGAGTTTTACCGAAGTATTACATTTATTTAGTAGTCATAACACTGTCCGATTGTCAGTGATGCACATGGTACTTGATGGACTTTCAGAATACGTTTTCCCCTACTTTGTAGGTTACCTCCAAATACCTGAAAAACAAAATCTTAACAAGAACATGCTTGTGCAAAAGGGAACATTTATTCCATAAATAGAAAGTAGAATGCACTATCTTCTTCGTGTAAGACTGTGTAATGAGGTTTGTTGTGTCTTTGGGTTGGGAAGAGGCCTTTCAGAGTCAGTTTATGAACAGCCTGTAATAGGCAAACCCATTTTTTCAGCATAGGAAAGGATTCAGTGTTTATGGATCTTACAAGTGCCATTTCTCGTGTGACCATTTGCATTATTAAACAATGAAAATATGCTCTCGTCTACCTGAAGCTATTTTTACTGTTTTATTCTACCTATTTGCAAACTGACTTGAAGTTGTCTAAAGGAGAAAAGGATACCGCTTACTTAGGACATTTGCTGTTGGAATACGCTGTTCTCCAACATTGGGTGCAATTTTTTTTTGGTAGCGGTCAACATACAGGAGATGCAGAAAGCTGAAGTCCATTGATAATTAGGGGAATAAACAGTGCAGTCACTGGTCTGGGAGGGATAGGTTTTTGAGGTTTTGGCACAACTGAATAGTCAGGTGCTACTGGAATCAGCAGCTGCTGCAAAGTTGTGGGTGTTACGAGATGGAAACCATTGACTGCAGCACTGATTATCTAAACAGCTCTTTTGTATGCTGGCAGCAATGGAATTTCTCTTCCTTCCATTTTCTGGGTGACTTATTATCAAGTATGACAGCTTGTCATGTGTCATCATCATCATATTAGTCCCGTGAGAACGGATGCTCTTCTTAATACCCTCGTCCCTTCCATATACAGGGTGAAGCACAGGTTAAAATAGGAGTTTGTACTTGCGTATACTTGTTGCACTTGACTGTGCAGCAGTGGTTCAGTCATTCAAAGAGGCGACATTAAAGGGACTGACAAGGCATTAGTGAGTGTCTGTTCATTAACCAAAAGGAGGAACAGTTTGCTTCTCTCTGGAATTTATTATTTAGAGTGGCAAAGAGAGGCTGTTTGAGAAGGAATTTAAGAAGCTAAATAAAGTTATTCTGAACATAGTGATGATGATCTCTGTGGTTAAGTAAAATGGAATTAAACTATCTGTTGTTCCTTTAAACTGTTCACATAAATAAATGTAAACATTTTACACTGACTTGTACATTGGTTTAGAAAGATTTATGTCTCACAGATATCTATTGAGTGCTGAGTTTTTAAGCATTAGCACACATTCAGTGGGTTAATTCTGTGGATTTTTAACTTATTTTTCAAATGTAGGAGACCTTGCAAGCTTATTGTCTAGTGGTTTTTAAACACAGAAAATGCACAGTGTACTTCAGTTAACACACACAGATGTGTAGTAGTATCATTGCTTTTATGATTTTCACACACTCTGATATGAAAACTAGTGATATTATGTGTCCATCATGGAGGAAAGGGGAATGCGATACAACACTTAAAGTGAGTCCAAGCAGATTTAAATAGAGATGAACCAAAGAAAATAGTCATTCGTAAGACCACAGGAATGAAGAAAGACATGCCAGAAAGCTACACTGGGTGTTCTAGGACTTACCTGAAGTTTTCGATGTGAAATAGAAGTGATGAGGAAGAATGAAGTCAGAGGATACCAACATTACAAATATAAATCCTTTCCCTTTTTATTTTCTTGAGCTGAATGAAGAATACACGTAGAGTGGAATGATGTCTAGATGCCCAGGTAGAGCTGTAGGCAGTTAGTGTAGGTGCAGAAAGGGTGAGATAGGTTGGAGAGCCATCAGTATTTGGGTGCATGAGTAAGAAACAGTGGGCATGGGCAATGTTATCAGAAGGTCGGCCAGGAGGTGGTGTTTAAATCATGGGCACAAGAGAACATGAAGTCCCAAAAAAGAATTCTAAGGAATATTCAGAAGTAAGAGAGCTAAGAAAATGTGGTTTGGGTAACCCAGTCACTGATACTGTTGAAAGTAGCAGAGTGCAGGGCTAATGAGGACTGATAATTGACCCAAAACTTAGGGAAGGAAATGTCTGGAAGGGGGATTACTTAGCAAAGGGAAGTTTTGTGGTCAATTTTATTTGTTTGTTTATTTATTTCGGGAGTAAGTTGACACAAAATTCACTTCTATATTCATGTGGAGATCCATTTTATTTCTAAGTAGGACATTTTAAGGAATTGAAAGAAAGGAAGAGGAAAATCTCAGTGGCAGGCTGTTGATTCAGTGACATTCGGTGAAAATAAGACAGCAGTTAATGGAACAATTTTTGTGGTGTGCTTTGAGAATGGGATTTGAAGATGTGCTTGAAGGCTGATGGAAGAAATAAAGATGAGCAAGCCCAAAGAAAAAGCAGCTAAATAGCAAGAATTTTGAGCTGGAACTCTGTCCCAGACATCTAGTCTTTGCATTAGTACCCATCCCAGAAAACAGTTACTTGAGTAGTTACTTTGCTATATGGCCTTATATTGGAAAGGTTGACATTCAGCAGGCAGTTGCTTAAAGGTTCAAATGTTTTAAATACCTAGGCTTGTTTGGAAACAGTTTTGTGTCTCTGTTTCACTACAACATAATAATTAAGATGATTGAGAGTCTATGTAATCCAGAATGATATGGCTGAAACAGCTTCTTTTTACCAAATATCTAGTCAGCATGTGGAATATGTGTTCATGATCCCATACCACGACATGTACTTCTGGGGATATGCAACCATTTCAAATTCCTAAATGACTTGATTAGGAGATAAGAATTGACCATTGGCTGACAATTGTGGGGTCTTTTGCCTCTATTGTTACAGGTGAACCTGGTCTTACATTATTTCATTGTGGCCTGTAGACTCCTCATGAACAGTGAAATGATGCACAGTTAATGGATTTTGGGACTCTTCATTGATGTCATTACATAGTTGCTCTGAGTATTTTTGTAGTTTTTGCAGGCATCAATATCAATTTTATATTTGGTTCTAAAAATCAAGCTTATGCCTATGTCTGCTTTGTTTTGGTGTAGTTTGATAATGACTGTATTACTTTGAATGACTGCTTGTTTATGTGCCTTGGTTTGATTTTGGTCTTAAATTTAAGATAACTTTGTTTTTAAAGCTGTTCTATATTCTGTTTGTGGCCTTACACTTCTAATTTTTTTTAATATATTCATATTTAAAGCACCTATTCTATCTCGAATAGGCCTGGAAGTTTATGTGTTTCTGGGTTCATATAATAAAACTTTTGTAGTAGGTGCCCTTAAGGGATCATACTTTTTATGTTGCTGTCTGCAATAGAACTTTCACCTTGAATTCCTCTACAGTTAATATGCCATTATCTACCTTATTTGCAGTACCACATTTGAATAATTTCTGTGGTTTCTTTTAGGGACTCAACAACAGCTTATGACACAACATGCTTTGGAGAAAGAGGCTTTGGAGAAGATTAAAATAGAAATCGAGGAGGAGCTAAAACGTCTTGATGAAGAAATCTTGGAAGGTGCTCTACAGATTTTCCCATTTCAATTGATAATCTCTGTGCGCTATAATGGTGGTTAATTTGTAACAGGTACTCTAGTTAAAGAGATTTTTGGACGCATTGAATCTCTTTACCCTCTTCCCCCAGAAGATTTCTACAGATCGTCACATGAAGTAAAATAGTTAAACGTTACTGTTTGGAGCAGTGGAGTCTAGCCAAAGCAAACAGTTGAATGACATTTAATAGGCTACTATAAATAATGAAATGTAAGCAGCCCTTAAGCTGCTGCAGTTGATGACAGAAGTGAAATCATTCCTCAGCAGCTAACATTCAGAGGAGTGTGGAATTAAACCATCAGATTTCTCACTTCCACCAGGTTTATTTTTTGTGACATGCTTTGACATGTAAATGTGGCTTTTATAGGGCTCCCAGCAAGGGATGATTTGGAAGCAACCTTTGCTTTGCATGTGTGTTGCAAATTGGAAATCTGAAGTAGAAAGGCTCTAGATCTGTTTACGTTCATCCATATAGACCTTTCTTAGAAGTTTTAAACTGAGAAGGAAAAGGTTATATGAACAAGATATTATTTTTAAAAATTATACTCTAGTACTGCTGCAGTTACGTCCACGTGTGGGCAAATTTTACCATGGAAAAGAGGTTCTCTTGCTGCTCCATCAGGGTTGGCATCAGCTTAAAATTGAGAACAGTTGCACATTCAGCTAATATGCTGGTTAGGATGCAGTTGTGAAATAAGAGCTGGAGGGGAAATGTAACTCAAAGTCATCTATGGCTTGTAAGTACCACTTTCAGAATATATTTGGACCATACTTGTTTTACTATTTGTTCATAGCATGCTTTGACTATAGAGTAGTGATTTCTTCATACCACATGTAAACTGTGTTAACTGGTGGGATAAGAAATCTGAGACTGTTGATGTTCCTATATGAATGATTTTTTTTTTTTTTATACTTTTTTTTCTCTCAGCATTTACCACTACAGGATTTGACTGCCACACTTCCCCAGTGTTCAGTCCTGCCAATCCAGAGAGCTCAATAGAAGACTGCCTGGCTCATTTGGGGGAGAAAGTGTCCCAGGAATTGAAAGACCATCTGCACAAAGCACTGCAGAGCTTGCTTAGCAAGTGAGTTTGCCTTTACTTTTTCAAAGGGAAGGTGTTTGCTTTTGCATTGTGACTGCTGCTGAAATGCTAAAGATGTGACTACATTTTGTATTGCATTCCTTTCTTTTTCAATGTTCCTTTATCTGGCTGTTTTTTGTTTTGTGTTGTAATGTGCAAATACTTCTTTGTGGTGCTTGCTCTTTGCAGTAATGTTAAGTTCTAAAATTTTTCTCAGCTTTTATCATTGAACTGAGACTAATTCAAGTAGTTTGAGTTGCTGGTGAAACTAGCAGCTGGCAGCTGCCAATTGCCATTGCCAATTTAATGAATGCTGGGCCGCACCCAGATTAATTTCTTTTACCCTATAGTTAAGAGTGGAGCTGAAGGTTTGTTAGTAGTCTGGCTCAAGATGAGTGGGAGAGTTTCCCTGAAAGGGTGGTAGTTAGATGCTTTATGATCACCATTCAGGTACACATCGAAGCAAATGTGGGCCCCTGGGTTAACCTTGGTACCTTAAGAGCTATCCTGCCAATTTAAGATTATTGTTTAAATAGCACATGGTACTTGGCATGCTAGTATCTTGATCAATGTCTTTTGAAAATTGGTAAAATTGTTGTGGTTGCTTGGTTTTCTATTATAAATTAGCAGTCTGATTTTAATGGATCCACATGAACTACTTCTGGCTGTTCTGAGTGACCTCCAAAATGGATTTGTAGAGAGCTGGATTTGGAAGGTGCTACTTCAGGGACAGTTACATAAATGCAATTGTGAAGGCAGCATTAGCAAATAGCTATCTGAGTCTATGTTTTGTGGATTGGTTTAAATAATGTGGCTCAAAAGAAGCTGAGAATCTCCAGTACTACTCTTTCAGGGTTTGCATAGCTGTTCATGAACTGTTTGAACAATAAGGTACTGGAAGCCTAGATACCAGCGCCTAGTGTACTTTCTGATGCATGGGGCTTCAGCCTTCTATATGTGCATTGAAGAGGCATCTCATGCCCTCATGAAGGTAATACCCTTTACAGCAGACTTCGGGAAGGTTACAAATTTGGAAGTCATTCCATCTGAACATCAGGAAACACCTTTTTACTGTGAGGAGGACTGAGCACTGGCAGAGGTTGCCCAGAGGGGTTGTGGAGTCTCCATCCTTGGAGATATTCAAAAGCTGTCTGGGAATGGTCCTGGGCAGCCTGCTGTAGGGAGACCCTGCTTGAGCAGGTAGGTTGGGCAGGATGTTCTCCAGCTGTGCCTTCCAACCTCAACCATTCTGTGATTCCTTAACTAGCCCATCTATTCCTTAATTAGCTCCCTAGTCAACAACTAAGGGTTGGCATTTTATGACCAATGTAAATTAAAACTGACTGTTCGAAGTCAGGTAGGACAGGGCTCTGGGCAACCTGATGTAGTGAAAGATGTCCCTGCCCATGATCTTTAAAGATCCCTTCTAACACAAACCATCCTATGATTCTATGACTCTGACCTGGATTTCACAGCAAAGGTGCCATGTGACATCTGACCAGACAGATGAAGATGGTTGTTTCTTTTTCCATGAGTCATCCAAGGGAAAAGTACACTCTTTCAACTTACCATTTAACTTTTAGAAACTGATATATATACTGCCTGCTTCTATATGCAGTTTTTATAATGTCAAAACGCAGGTTCAGTATTGTGTAAACTAACAATTATTTACCCACAGAAAAGAGTATGTGGGGTACAAGTTTCTCCTTAGGTGGTAAAAGATACACTAGCGTGTTCCTCCAGAAATGACAGACGCTTATCTGCCTTTACAAGCCAGGCATTTGTCCCATGTGGCCTTAAAAACTTGTGCTTAGTATCTTCTGAAGAGCTGGGGTTTTGATAAATACCTCACTACACCCTGAAAAACTAGACTGGCAACAAGTTGGAAAATTACCTGTAAGCCTTGCAACCCACTCTTTTCATGTGTCTAAAATGGTATATTGACATAACAGCATTTTAAGTTTAAATGTCTTAAAGGTTGTAGATAATTGGCTGACTGTCTGACATTGACGGGTTGTAACTGGTGCACTCTAGGTTCATTCTTTTTAGAAAGTTCCTGAGAGGAGGTCTTTGAAAATTAAGTGGTTCTAGGTTGTTAGCAGCCTGATGCTCTAGGCTTCTTGTGTTTTCTATGGGAAAATATTTGCATGCCAAGTATTTTTTTTTATTTATATACGTACATACGTACATACCTATAAAGTCTGAAATGCCTGTGAAAGCGTGTTGATATGCATGCCTTTTTATAAGGCAAACTAGAGCTACTGTTTAATCTCTTGATAATATCCTTCCTGCAGCTGTTGTTGCTCTTCTCATCCCACTGATTCATTTGGATTTGCGTTTTAAAGGAACTAAAGTAGCAATGAGGTTAAGAGAATGCACTTAAAATGACATACCCAAATTATGTTTTCCCCAGTATGTTTTAACTCTGTTCTTTTACCCATGTTTGCTACAGTAGTGCTATTTGATACAATACTTATTTTGCTTATATTGTCCTGTCCTTTTATACACATATAAAAAGTATGTTATGGTACAGTAGGCTATTAGATCATGACAGGTTCTTGGAGTTCAATAAGCAGTCTTCTGTCCAATACCAGTTACCACTATTTGCCTTAAAACTGAAGTCTGAACTTGCCTTTTGTCATGATCTGGTTCAGGACAGCTACTTTTGAAGCAGTACATCTTATGCTGTCACTTGGCAGAAAGTCTTTGTTGTTCCTGACTGTAAGATACTATGTGATCTTGGAGGAAAAAGTATGAAAGAGAGGAATTTCATCATCCCAATTCAGAGTACAGAGATGATAAATCTAAAATAGAGGTATCTACTGAAATACGAAGGGGGGTTGTGATCAAAAGTGCTGTTTCTTGCAAATAAAGGCTTCAACTCTAACATAATGTTAATGCGGTCAAGCAGTCTGTGTTGGTTCATAGCCTATATTGTTTATTAAAATTTTACTCTGCATTGGCATCTATCTCACATATGAATTTCTTAGTGGAATTTTTTATCTTTGAAGTCTTAGATTATAAAAAATTGCATGCAAGAGCTTAGAAATTTTGGTAGCATATCAGAGAACCTACTTACCTAATGCCCTTTAAGTTATAGAATATCAAATTATTATGAAATTCACTTAACTAATTATATGAAATCATATAACTGGGAGAAGGTGATGCCTTCCTGACCCTGTCTGGTGCTGGCGTTTTATGTCCTGAAATGTGAGACTTGTTAGCTCTTGAAAATTACTTGCTGTAATATGTGTGAAAATATTTTGTTCTCTGGAAACTGAGAATTTTATTTTATTCTTGTTCTTTTGTTTCCTTTTATAACTTTCAGTGTTGGTTTAACTTCTGCAGGCCAGTGACATATCAAGAATATCGAGAGCGCACACAAGAGACAGCTGTTCATGCCAGTGGATGGAACAAGGTACAAAATAAGTGACTTTGCTAGCTCTCATGTCTATTTGAAGTCCATAGTGTTTTTACTAGCTACAGCTAGGCTTCACAGAGGACCAAGAATAACAAGAACCCACTTGTTTCTAGTAAGAAACAACTTTTGCTCTCAGAATGGTAGATGTGGACATGATATGTAGTTTTTAGATAATTTAGCCAGAAGTTATCTAATGGAAGTATTAGGTCAATCTTCCATTTCAGGTTCGAAATACATGTTAAAAAAAAAAAAGTGATAAACATGGTGAAAATAAAAATTGATAGTATCTTCAAAATATTTAAATTGTTCAGAAAATATAAGGACAGTGTGCCTACCTGGTTTCAGGCGTAGTTATCTCAAATGATATGAAGCTTCTTTTTAAAACAATATGCAAATCTGTAAATTAATTGAAACTTCATTTTAAAACAAAATGCACATCTGTAAATTAACTATCTTATAATAGTTTTAATATAGAATTACTGTTCCTAGATTAATCTTTCATTAATCATTCAAATTCATCATCTTAATCATTCTCTGATGGGTTCAGTGGGCATCATAAGAGAATGAAAGAATGAAATAACTATTCAAATTTAATCACAAATTGAGTATTAAAATTAGTCTTAAATTTAAAATAGAATAAGAAATCTTTTTCCCCTCTTTACATTTTTTTTTTCCAGAAATACTTTTCCTTAGCTAGATTTCCCTGCTTACTTCAGAAACTGATCATCTAACCGAGGGTGTGGGCACTTTTAAAGCAGTTTATTAAACATTGCTTGACAAGTTACTGTCCATGGCTCCAGCAATTATAATTGGTGTGTGTGCTTTCAGTTTATCACCTTGTGATTCATAGCATTTTAGTTTAAACAACCATGAAATCTGGTTATCAAGAAGGTGGCTTAAGCTAGCACGTTTTACTTTTCAGTTGGTGAAAACTAAAAACAAGCATAAAACCAGTCATTGTGGCTCAGCTTGCAAGGGAGGAGGTGGATTGAGTTTGACAGTTGCCTACTGCGTCTCCATATGCTATTGTTACACACCTCTTGAAGATGCAGCCCTGGGTAGATGGATCTGCTACATTTGGGGGTTTATGATTCAGCCTTCATGGCTGCTACATTTGTGCAGCCCCTGTGACTAGTGGATTTTGTTACCCATCAGTTTGTGATTGAGAATACCATCCAGAAGATGTCTTTGTCATCATCTTTGTTACCCGTAACATTTGTTACTACAAAACTTGCAGTCCACAAGCTAAGGAGAATGGAAATTTTACAGAATAATACAGCATCTGTTTGTATGGTTTTCGTGGTAGCTGGATGTTTCAGGAATGCCTAGCAGTTCCTTTAATAATACTTGTTTTGAGGAGATGGAATAGATTTGTGTTGCTTTCATTTCCTTTTAAATTCCTTTATCATCTTAATCAGAATCGTATTTTATAACAGAAGAGATCCAGATATCTTTCCTCCAACCTCAACCTAGCTTAATTTTCACTCTAAAGAGGAAGCTGTTAGAAAAAGAATTTTTTAAAGTAGCTATAAATAGACATAGCATTAAGTCTAATTAGCAGGCATACAGCAGCAAAATGAGGCTATGCTGACCTCAAGTTTATGAAAATTGGAAGGATGTATATTTAAATTGACTCTGTTGGGAGAACTGAAGCTTACTCCCTTTTACGACTAAATAATAAGAAAACATACAACTAGCTGGGCTAGCTGTACAGAATAATAAATCTCTCCCTGTTATATGCTCACAGCTGTTACATATGCTATAGCTTCTTGGGTGGAGCAGAAATTGAAGATGCACAGTAGCTGTGGCAGATGTCAAAGGGTTAAAAATGTGGAAATACCCTCTCACAGACAGACTTCTATGTGATCAAGGATTGTGGTTTGATCCAGACTAGAAGACATAAAACAACTGAAGCTAGTAGATGAAATGTGTTTTCAGCTACATGTAAGCTGTATCTGTTGTGCTCAGTAGTGGCATCTTGCACAGCAAGATGCTCTTTTTGATTTCAGTAGCCTATGAACTAGTATGTAAAATCTCACTTCAAATTTCTGAGCCTTTGCTGCTGTAGGTATGTATTATTATACATATGTATGTTTAAAAGCCCGACCTATTTAATATATTGAATGCAATGCACTCAGAGAGCCACACTGATCACTTAAAGGCCCAGTATCTCAGTGGCACAAAGCAGACTCAAAGTAGTCTTTGCAAATCTTCATTGATGTTATGTAGATGAGAACCATGGCTTACAGGTAAGCATATACTTCTGGGAGCTACTGGATTACCTAGATGGTTAGCTGGTTGGAGGTTGTGGACAAAGGCTTGATCTGTCTGGTTTACAATTGGGAAGGTGTCATTTTTAGCCATACCAGTTTTCAAAGAACCTATTCGTTATACAAGCATGAGCAGAAGGAAGACACTTCTAAATATAGCTGTTATTTTTTCCATTTAAAGATGCGGATCTTTTCCAGAGTGCAATGGTATGTTTGAACTGCTAAAGAGATTTGGTTAACTGACTAGCACATGAGATGTAAAGGAATGTTTTCAGTCACTAAAACATGAATATCGATCTGAATGAGGAAATATTGCAGGGTAAACTACTGCATAGGAAACTCGGTTCTTCCATTAACACCCCACAGAAGCAAAGTTTACCCACAGACATTAGAAGTGCTGGTTCTCAGTAAAAAAAATTCAGGAAAAGAAATTATTTCATGTATTTTTCAGAAATTGTGATGTGAAAATAATAGCCATGATGTTGGATTCTGTAAAGAAAAGGAGTCTTCACCTTGTATTTGAAATAAGGCTTTCATTAAAACAAAACAAAACCAAAACGACCTCAAACTTAGGGCAAATTATATTTCTATAATAAATAAATGTGATAAAAAATTGTAATACTTCACTGTTGAGATTTTATGGGTTTTGCTTAAAATTGAGTATCATGTACATACTCCAAAATACATGATTACACTATTGTGCATCAGATAAAAGGATAACAAATACTGAGATTCAACTGAACTGGTAAGTAGGTTAGCAGTCATCTTAATGTCCCACTTTTACTCATTAATGGAGCTAAGGAATAATACAACAAAAATGTAAGAAATAGTCATGTAAAGAATTAGATGAATCTTACGTTGAAATAGTCAGAAGGTATGCAGAAGTGGCAATTACTTTGGATACACTTCTTCAAAGTCTCTGGACTTTGTAATAATTTTTTTGTGTGTATGTTTGAATTTGTAATTTTGTACTATGGGATTGCAATAGTATAATTGACAGAAATCTTAATTTATACAATTAATCAGAAATCTTCTGATAGTAAAGGGTTTTTTTTAATGATTCCATAGAAGTTTTCTCCTGCCAGCTATTTTCTGGCATGCTGTGCTTGATACTCTGTATGTTTTTCTTCAGTAAAAATATAAATAGCCCCTAGCATCCCTTCCCAGGCATACTGGTGGAGGAATTGCAGTTGCTTTGAATTGCTAAAGCTATATTTTTATTTTGGTCTAGTTAAATCTCATCACCATTCATATAGCTACTCTTAGCTACAGAAAGCTGTTGATAACCTTTATGGAAGTACCGTGAAGAAGGTACCTTCTTTCATGAATTTAGGGTCATGCAAACCTGTTACTGTTCCTACTGGTCTCAAAGGTTTCTATAATTTCAGTAATTTCAGTGGGAAAGGAAAACCAGGTGGTGTTTGTTGGTTTGCATGGATTTGCATATTAGAGTTTCATTTGGTCCCTCGCTCCTGAGGCCTGCAGAGGCTTGCTAAATTTGGGAGTGGATGGATTAGATATTTAAGTTGGCAAAGGAGATGGCAACAATCATGTTCAGTATGCCAACATTTGAGCTCCCTTCATTTCCTAACCAGCCTTTTTTTGCCTTTGTTTCCCTTACCTTCAGCTTAAAGTAAATGTCAAATATTTTGAGATCTCAATGTTCATGCTGTTGTAGAATTATGTGGGTGTGCCCAAAGCCTCTGAAAGATGCCTGGTCTTGACAGCATGCTTTTTTTTCTTTGATCCAAAAATATCGAAGTTTCTTCTGGCACTTGGCTCACCTTGACCTGCTCCTTAACGTTTGCACAATGTAAGCTTGTACCTCTCCTGCCTGAGTTGAGATTAATTACAAGAAACTCAAAAAACCCAAAGGCTTTTAAAATTCAAGCACCATCCTGTTCCTAGTTAAGTGACTGCAGTGTAACTGTTTGTCCCAGAACAGTCCTATAACCTATCTGCCATAGTACTGGACTTTCTGAGTTGCTAATCAGCTGGAACATCTTAAATTTATCAGGTTACAGGCATTTTTAAGGCCCCATCTGTTTTTAGTGGTACATCTCAGTGTGACTCCACCATGAATTTAGTACAAATCTCAAACCCAGCCTACTTTTCCTATTTGTCTTCCTCCAGCTTTGCATCCTGTGGTGTGATTTCTGGGAATAGTAGTGGAGGATATTTACAGAAAAGAAAATCAGGCTGAAGGAGGAGGAGACTGGGAAAGGAAGAAGGCACTTGGAATTCAGTCTGAGCAGTAGTATTAGCCCGCATCTACCTTGTGCAGCTGGGAAACAATGTTCTTATTTGAACAGTGAATAGATATGCAACACAGTTGCCACAAACTAGGTGTGATAAAACTTACAAATATTTTTCTCTTGTATCATAATAGTGCTTTTTCAGATGCTAATGACTTCAACTGATACCAGTTTCCTGAACTTGGCAAAGTGCTGCATATAAACCTTGCCCAGAGGGCCACTCATGTGCTCTAGAAGAATAAATTTAGAGTTTTTAAAGTTCAACTGCATGTTGTTTAGGCAAACAAAAACATAATTTCAGAAGGAAGTGTCTAGAACTGTATAATATGAAGGAGGTGGATTCACAGAGTCTTGCATCTTCCAGAGCAACTGACATTTGGGTTAAGGCTGAGCATTCAGTTAGAGACAAAGGGTTTGGAAGGAGGAATGAGAGTAGGAAATGAGGGAGGGAATTCTGTATGTGTTAAATTTGGCATTGGAGAGAGAGTTAACACGGAGAGGGGTCTGTCATTTTAAACATGTCTGTAATGTTATGGGGCTGGGAGGAGTTGTTTGTTTCTATGCTCTCTGAAAGCCAAGTGTGAACTTCTTAAGAGACTGTCTAGTGCAATGTATCTATTCAAGAATGTATATGAGTTTGCTCTTTAAATACAAATTGGATGCATATCCCTTCAAACTATTTATAATGTTGCACTTTCCACTTCTGGGGTAGCAAGTTCTGGATTGTTCTGCTTCTTTACCTGAATCTTGTGTTGGGAAAAAATGGGGCTTAAGAAGGCACTGCAGTCCTGTTCTGTGAAACTCTCAAGTTAGGCTGTGGTGTTTTGCTTATCAGATTAAGTGCTGCTTTCTTACTGAATTGAATTGTGTTTCTGCCTTGTGTCTTCACAAAAATGAAGTGTATAATGAAGTGTATAGTCCCTGATACCTTTGGACTTGTAGATTCTGACCTTTTCTGTGGACCACATGAATTCTTCTGTTTTACCTACATAGTGGTATTGATAATGCTTTCTGTATTTATTCACAATTCTTCTTTTTGAAGGTCTTGGTACCCCTGGTTCTGCTACAACAATTTCTGATGGAGTTAACCAGACGGGGCCAGGAACCACTGAGCGCACTTGTGAACTTCGGGGTGACATATCTAGAAGACTATTCTGCAGACTATATCATTCAACAAGGAGGATGGGTAAGAAGACAATGTTTAATTTTCATACTTTGTTCAAAGCCGTTTTCTAAGTGTGATACTATACTTAATAGGAGTGAAAGCTAAGAGGGGTTGCTAGAAGTAAGCAGATGAGAGAAGAAATGCCCCAGAAAAAGCAGAAAAAAAAGCAGGAGGTCAGGACCATGTAGTTGAGAAAGTATCTTGGGCAGTCATCTATTTCGCCTCTCTGTCCCAAGGCAGAACTGACTTTTACCCATTCATTTCTGATGTTGACATTAAAGACCTATCTGACTGGACTCCACAATTTCCCCAGGCAGACTGTTCCAGTTTTGTGCATGTCTGGTTTGTTGGATTGCCATTGAAATTGAAGAGGTCCTCAGGTGTCAAATAAAAACTAGTTTTCATGCACTGTGTGTTAAGATGCTAATTTGTTGCTATATGGTGAGCTTTGTATGTTCTTTCCTGTTAATAGACATAACAGAATTGCATTTAGAAGCAAATACCAGTAACAAGAGATACTGTGCCTGAGAGGCTCATCTTTTTAATATTACCTTCATACTCTGGTGACTGCTGGAAATGGTATATGGTGTTTTTTCCTTTAAATTTCGGAGGGTTTTTTAGCAGATAAGTAATTGGGGACCACTTCTTACAGAAATGTCAGTAGGTACTAATTTATTTGTATAATAAATGATAGAATAGCTAATGCATATTGGATGTTATAGCTATATAGGAACATGAATAGAATGAGCAATCAAGATTTCTTTGTGCTGCATTTCCTTGTGGAAATCTTCAATTCATGGTAACCAACGTTCCTGAGTCATGGCATGCTGAGAAAGTTTCATTTAAAAATGCATCACAGAGGCAGCTTACAGCCAGTGAGCTGGGTCTTGAAGGCTGAGCTTTAGATTACTGGGTGTCATGGTTTAACCCCAGCCAGTAACTAAGCACCACGCAGCCGCTCACTCACTACCCCCCCACCCAGTGGGATGGGGGAGAGGATCAGGAAAAAAAGTAAAACTCATGGATTGAGATAAGAACAGTTTAACAGAACAGAAAGCAAGAAACTAATAATGATAACAACAACAACAATAATAGGACTGGAATATACAAAACAAGTAATGCACAATGCAATTGCTCACCGACGCCCAGTTAGTTCCCGAGCAGTGATCCCCCCAGGCCAACTCCCCCCAGTTTATATACTGGACATGACATCACATGGTATGGAATACCCTGTTGGCCAGTTTGGGTCAGCTGCCCTGGCTGTGTCCTCTCCCAACTTCTTGTGCCCCTCCAGCCTTCGTGCTGGCTGGGCATGAGAAGCTGGAAAACCTTTGACTTAGTATAAACATTACTTAGCAACAACTGAAAACATCAGTGTGTTATCAACATTCTTCTCATACTGAACCCAAAACATAGCACTGTACCAGCTACTAGAAAGAAAATTAACTCTATCTAGCAGAAACCAGGACACTGGGTTTGGGAAGGATGCCAGATTTGAATGGAATTAATCTGGGATTAGTGAAATGCCTCCAGCAAGTTGATTTATTCTAAAAAGAAAAGCTGTTCAGGAAAACCCAGTGATTAAAAAGTGCTAGTAGGAAAAATCTCATTCAGATAACTTCTCACATTTCAGGACTTTACCTGAAGTTTTTTTTAAGAGTTTGTTCCAGAATTTCTGCACGTCTGCACTTTCCTATATCCTTTCCCTTCCTGGCAATTGTGGATAATAGTTTTCAAAGCCTTTGGGAGGGATTGTTTGTCTTTGATGGACAGAAACACTAACAGCATGCAGCCAAATGACCTTAGGTCATTTGATAAGTGTACTCACATTACAAAGTATTTTCATCACAGGGAAGGTCCTTACAGATGGATGTTAGTGCTATTTTGCTTTTCTGCTTTTTTTTTTAACCTCAGAAAAGGCTGTGGTCTGTTCTCTAGCCCCTGTTTGAGGCCTGCTATAAACATACTTAATATAGTGCAAAGCCTCTGTAAACAAGCAGCTTTCCAGCATGGCCTCCAAGGGTGGGGGCTGTGCTTTGTGTTTGTGTGACTGTGCATGTATGTACAGATCTGGATAGTTGGTGTTTAATGGGCTACGGGCTTGTCTGTATACATCCAGTCAGGCATAAAATCAGACTGACATAAGCAGTACAGCAAACAAGCCAGAGCTATTTTTGAAACAGCAGAAGAGGCGAGGAAAGAGACAAGGTGATGAAAATGCTTTCCAGCCAAATTAATGTGGCTGCACTAACCCTTTGTGAGTTGCTCTGGGAATGGGCTTGGGGACCCAATGGACTTGTGGCTTAATGTGGAGGAAGGGAATATATGGTTTTATTGTAAATTTTTTTCCTGTAAGGAAAATGTTCATTTTTACTGAGTGGCATGCTTCTCAGTTTGTTCCGAGTCTGTGGGATGGTGTTCTGGGGTTGGCAGTGCTGGGAGCAGGGCGTGGGGTAAAGGTGGGAGAGTTTGTCTTTCTGAGAAGGGCCGGGGAAGAGCTGCCTGGCAGGCTGTTAGCCGTCACGCAAGTGTTTTGCATTTTTTAAGATGAGCATCTGCCACCGGGGCTCTGTGTGCCGGATCAAGTTGTCAGTAATACTTCGCTAGAGCCATAAGGGCAATATATAAACCTGGGAGTCTCCAGTGAATTATGTTGCTGTGACAGTAAGAGGTTCAATTTTTGTGTTATTCCGGAGTGGTGTGAAGTTGGTCTTTCCTACAGCTGCTAAGCACTTACTTAAAACCGAGAAGATACCAGAACAACCTGTCTGTTTTTTTGTGGATCAGGAGCAGAGGAGAGCTTCACAGGAGTCACCTTTTCAGAGGCAGACCTGAAAAATTCTGTACTGTCTCTGGTGCTGTCTCTTTCCTTGGCACCACATAATTAGGGATCTTCTTCAATTTCTGGATTGCAGTCAACCTTTGCCAGGAGGGAAGTAGCCAGTTGAAGGTAAGGGGTCAGCTGAACCCTTCCTATGCCCCAGTGCAGATCTGTGGAGTCAGAATTTTACAGAGCTGTGTCATCCACTGGGACCACTTGCTGCATCATGCAGTGCAGCCATGATGCGGCTGGAAGAGCTCCCGAGGTTCTGCGTGTGTGCAAGACTTCATGTTGTTTTCTGGGCTCTGGAGGCTTGTAGGTCCGGGAAAGCATCTGATTGAGGATGGTGGACAACAGTTAACTAGAAGCAAAATTGCTAGCTTAAGGGAATAAAGGTTGGTAAATTGGATAGCTATGCAGTAGATTTCAAGAAATCAGCATGGCTTGTGAGGAATGGGAAATGTGGGATACCAGAGGTAGAGCCTCTGAGATGAGAAGTTGCTTTTTTATTTTTCATCCCAGTCCTGCAGATATACAGTGATGAGATGATATGTTGAAACAATCAGTGTTCCCCTCCCATTCTCCCTTCAGGCACTAAAATTGTAATTCAGATAACTTTTCATGGTAAAGTGGGACTGGGATGTAATGGTTGGTTGGTTGGTGAGAGCATAGCTGGCATATTTTCATGTTCAAGTGCATACAATACTTTGATAATATGATTCTGGTCATTGTGTATGCTGTTCCCCTTCCTCTTCGTCTGTTTTGCAGCTTTAGGGTCAAAGTCTTCCAAGTAGGAATGTCTGCAGTGCACTGCATATTGTGTTTGGATGCAGCTGGCAGCACAAACGTGAATGAAGAGATGAAATGACTACTCCATCTAGTTTACAATCTCTTACGTTTGCAGGTGGATGCAAGCTGAGTTGGGAGGACTGTAAGAAAGCAAGGAAATCTTGCTTTCTTCTGGAAAGCCTCCCTTTTTCACTAATTACAGTGACAGGTTTGGCTGTAGCTCTTATATTTGCCCTGCTTGACTTTTAAGTTTTAGTATGATCTCTCTTTTGGAGCAAAAAGCATGTTTGGCATTCTGGGTTCTCTAAATAGACACATGTGGGAACACATATTTCTTCCTCCTGACTCTGTGTTTTGAACCCAAATGGTCACACTAAGATCTTGTTCCTTTATCATCTTGAGCCATTGCAAACCAATTCCCTGCCTGATTTAGCAGTAGCTTCGTTCTTCTCATTCCTGAAAGCAATGTTAGGGCTCAACAAACTGACATGCAGTATACATGCTCTCCCCTCCCCTTCTCCTCCTCTTCCCTCCCTTCTCCTTTCCCCTCCCTTCCCTCCTTGTACCTCCCCTCCCTTTTTGCTCTGACTTCTCCAGGGCTGAATGCTGCTGCATCAGAAGCAATTCTTGGTCTCCTGGAAAAGTGCACAGTAAGGCCAGTCAGTTGGTAAGGATTTTTTTCCTCTTCCTTTCCCATCCCTCCTCCCAATATTTCTTCTCAAGCTGTGCGGATCCTGTTTTCCATGGTTAGATTTCATCTATGTTGAAATAGTCTGGGAATGTCTATAAGGAGGAAAAAGTATATGATTGCTTGGAAGCTAGCTGCTTTTATTTTTTCTCTCAGATTCACATCCACGTTACGAGCCCATCTGCTTTTCACTTGTTTGAAAGAGGTGAAATAAGTGCATGCAATTGGTGTTTATCGGTATTTGGTTAATAACCTTTCTTCTCTCAATAAGAGGCTGGTATTTGTATTTGTGACCCATAGCTGAAATTCTCTGCCTTCCCAGCGTTCTTGTCTCATGATGTTCAGATCTGGATTTGAATTTAACTAGCTACTTGCCCATGTTGAAGAAAGTAAAAGTAAATTTGCTTGAAATACGCATAGTGTTTACAGTTTCAGATCTCAGCCCTAGAAGAGCTGTCCTCTGTTTCCAGTGTTCTGTCTTGGGCTTTTCTGCTGGTTTTGACATTTTGTTTGCTGCTGGTAGTTGAATAATCTATGTACTACAGTCTGTTAACAATCAGGAGGAGAAAAAGGCGAAGAGACGCTTGTCATCCTAGCAAAGCGAGGCAGTCGGTTTGTGTAACTGGAGATTAAAATCTCCTTCTGCAGCAGTCCAGGTGTCTGTCTTGACAATGACAATGCAGAAATAGAGAGGCGTGCTCCACTGGAGGAGAGATAACTAAG